GGTTTGGCTCAATGGATAGAGTGTTGGCCTGCGGACTAAAGGGTTCCAGGTTTGATTCCGGTCAAGGGCATGTACTTTGGTTGGGGGCACATTCCCCATAGGAGGTGTGCAGGAGGCAGCTGATCAATGTTTCTCACTATCTATCCCTCTCCCTTCCTCTCTGTAAAAAACCAATAAAATATTAAAAAAAAAAAGAAAAGAAAAGAAAAGCAAAACCAATACATACATACATGCATCAGGTAAGCAAAGCAGGAAATCATAAGGCATGGCCGCCAGGTGCGTTGAGGGAGGCGCAGGGAGTGAGCTCGGGGGCTCGAAGCCTCCCACGCGCCAGGGGAGCTGGAGAGGGCCTCTCAGGACTTTCCCAGCCCGCTGGGAGCAGCAGAGGCCAGGCTGGCGGGGGTGATGGAGCCTGGAGCCCCCCCCACACACACACACTGCTGGGTTTCTGGAGGGAGGGCTGGCCTGGCAGGAGCTCCAGGCCCCCGGGTCCCCGGCCAGCAGCTCTGGCTCAGAGGAGAAGGCATTTTTTTATCCTCACTTGGAGTCTCTGCCCTTTTGCAGGCAGCGCGTTCGGCACAACTTGTGGTCCCCATCCCACCGCCCCCAGGTCCTGGCCTCAGCATCCCTCAGACACCAGCCCTGTCTGCTCCTCACAGAGGGCCAGGTCAGAGACCGGGGAGCTTGCCCAAGGCCAGAGGCACACAGGAAGCAGATTCCTGCGGGTGACAACCCCCTTGTCTCCCCCAGCATGTCCCTTCCTGCCCCTTCCCTCCATCACCCCCTCTCCAGCTCTAAAGACCTGACGGTCCCCACGCCCACTGATGAGAGGGCACAGGCCTGGCAGGAGGGGTGGAGTACAATCATCAATACCCCCCTGTGGCCTCCCTCTTCCTGCCTTGCTGACCCTCCTGTTCTCTGCTGAAACCAGACCCCTTTACTGGAGTTTGGGTAATGATTGCACTCAATCCAGGGCTTCCGGTGGAACACGAAGCAGATTCCTGGCCGATAGAGCGAGGGCAGCCTCCTTTCCTGGGCCCTGCTGCTCGGCCCAGGGGGTCTGTGTCCCTGAACCTGTGCTGGCCACAGGCTCTCCTGGCTCTCCTGGCACTTCTTCCAGGAGTTTCTTGACCCTCAACAACACGCACAGTATCAGCCGCCTACTCAGTCCTCCACACAGCTCATTTGGCAGAATCAGCCAAGGCCTCACTGCCCCATTCAGCCTATTGGCCAGAGCCAGCAGCCCCCTCACTGCCCGGCGCAGCCCATTGGTCAGAACCATCCTCCCACTCTCTGCCACATGCAGCCAATTGGCCAGGACAAGCTACCCGCTCATTTCTACAAGCAGCCCATTGGCCAAGACCAGCTACCCCTTCACTGCCTGACTCAGACCATTGGCCTGGAGCATCTGCCCCCTCAACACTCCAAACAGCCCATTGGGCAGGACCAGCCGCCCCCACACTGCTCCACACATCCATTGGACACTGCCAGCCACTCCAATCTGGCAGGTGCAGCCCATTGGTCAGGACCTGCCTCCCACTCACTGCCACATGCAGCCAATTGGCCAGCACCAGCTGCCTCCTCATTTCCACAAGCCCATTGGCCAGGACCAGTAGCCCCCCTCTTTGTCAAGAGCAGCCCATTGGCCAGGACTAGTGCCCTCCCCCTCACTGCTCCACACAGCCCATTGGCCAGGACCAGCCGCCTCAGCTCTGGCTGCACTTGGGCTGTATCTGGGTCTTGAAGGCTGGGCGCAGAGCAGCGGCCTGGGCTGTGGGTGGAGATGCTGAGGAGGGGGTGGGGTTCCCAGAAGAGGTGGTAGCTGTCCTTGACCAATGGCCTTGGGGGACACAGCTGTGGCCCCTGCCTCCCATCCCCGGGCAGCGTCACAGGCCTCCCAGCCCCTTCCTGGCAGGGAGTCACAGTGAGCCTGCCCAGCTGCCGCCCATCCTAGCAGGGCACTCGGGGGCAGGCCCCAGGACTTCCAAGCCCGCCCCGGGCAGAACAGCCGGGCCACAAACAGGTTTCCCTTTCTCCCCACTCCAAGGCCAAGGCCAAGCTCGCCTTGAGCCTGTCTGGGAAAGTGGCCAGCTCCAAGCCTCAAGGCAATGGGGGCAGGAGCAGGGCGGAGCTGCAGCCAGGAGTCCCTAAGTGCCCATCCTGGCAGGGGCCCAGGCTGAGGGACTCCTGCCCTGGGCTGGCACCTGCTCGGGCAGAGCCTGTGGCAGGGCCTTGCCCACTTCCAGCCCCTCCCGCCCAGTTTCACTGAGTTTTCTTTTCTTTTTTTTTCTTTATATATTTATTGATTTTTTACAGAGAGGAAGGAAGAGAGAGAGCTAGAAACATCGATGAGAGAGAAACATCGACCAGCTGCCTCTTGCACACCCCCTGCCGGGGATGTGCCCGCAACCAACGTACATGCCCTTGACCGGAATCAAACCCGGGACCTTTCAGTCCGCAGACCGACGCTCTACCGCTGAGCCAAACCGGTTACGGCTTCACTGAGTTTTCTGACCACCCCCCACCCCCCAAAACAGACTTGTCTCGGCCGGCTCGGAGCTCACCTGTTGGCAGAACACAGCCACCCACTCTGAGGGGGGCAGAGGGGTAAGGCTCAGGGTCCCCCCCCGCCCCTGCCATGTCCCAGAAGATGTGGAAGGGCGGAAATAGACGCTCGGAGGCCATGACATTGTAATAAAGACACTGCTTTTATTTAGTTTGATATGTTTCTATACAGAATGCAGAAAACACGTCTGAAACCCATACAGAAGGAAATAAAACACGCCAGTGGTTGGTGAACACTTGAATGTGAGGCCGGCTGTCTCAGAGTCTGACACCATGGGCCATCAGCAGCCCGCAGGGGGGTGGGGGGTGGGGGGGTGCCTGCAAGGGCATTGTTGCTCTTGTTATTCTGTTCACTGCCCCAGTGCCTCCAGTTGCTATGGCAACGGGCCATTCTGGGCCAGCCACATCTCTGCATGGCCGTGCCTCATGGTGGGGTTGCTAGGGGCAACTGTGCTGTTGGGAAAGCCTGTCAGAGCCCTCACCTGGAACGCCAGAATTGTTTACTTTGATGAGGTCATCAAAAATGGCCTCTCCAGGTCAGACCCACGTGTGCTCCTGCCTCTGGGGCATCGGGGAACTCTGGCTTGGATCAGGACTTGGGAGGCACAGGCCTGGTCACCCGAGGTCCACGGAGCCTCCGTCTGCCGGCGCCCCGCAGCTCTGCCCACTCAAACTCCACTGGGGCCTGCGGGGAGGGCCGGCCTGCGGGGAGGGCCGGCCTGCGGGGAGGGCCGGCCTGCGGGGAGGGCCGGCGCAGGCCTCGGGCCTCCCTCCGGAGCTGCCCGGCCTCTGCAGGTCGATATGGCTTAGAAGACAGCTTGTGTCCCAGGGGCGGGCCCACCACTGCCGGCGTTATTGCGAAAGGCTTTCCTCCCCTCCGTCCGCCAGCCCCCCCCCCCGCCCCCCCGCAGCCTCAAGGTCACGCCCCATGGCTCCTCCCAAAGGAGGCGGCTCCAGCGAGGGGCGCCCCAGAGTCCCGGGACAGATGCAGATGGACCGACAGACGGACACTCTGCTAAAAAGGCCAAAGGACCCCAGTGTAACCCCAAACTTAAACCAGTAAGAAAGGAAGGGGCAAACGAACAAAAAAAGGAAGGAAGGAAAGAAGGGGCAAAAAATAAAACCAAATCAAAATGAGCGAAGCTGTCAGTTCCATGGAGTCGACACTAAGAGCTTGTACAAACTGCTGTAAGCATCACCATTTTAAATTTTTTTTTTAATAAAACAATTTGAGGCTGTATAAAAACTTTAGTAAAAAATTAGCTTTGAGAGCCCACAGGTTTTCACTACGAACTATTGCTGGCACTCCTCCCCGGCCGCCAGCCCCTCCCGCCGCCAGGCCCCGGGCCCGGGGCTGGAGCGCCAGAGAAGGGGGGCGGGGGGCTGTGGGCTGTGGGGACAATGTGGCCAAGGTCAAGTGAGGAAAGAGCATCACACGACATAAAAATATTGCATCTTCACCAAAATGTCCCCCACTAAGTGTTTCAAAAGCCATGGTGTTCCTTTGAGGAGGGAAAACGCAGAAGGTGAGAGAAACAGGCCCATGTGGTCGGCCCCTCGACCTCCCCGGCACCTGAGCGGCCGGCCCCCTGCAGCACCTAGGTTGGGGGCCGAGGCCCATGCCTCTTGGAGTCCCGTTTCCATGGAAATGAAGACCCCTGGGTGGTGAGCTGCGAGCGTGCATGGGGTGGGGTGTGGTGTCCACGGCCCGGAGGCCCCTCCGGCTTCCAGCCGTGGCCACGGCGGGGGAGCAAGCCCAGCACCAGGGCCCTGGCCCCTGAGCCAGGGCGGGAGGCCCTGGTCCGCTCTGGGGCATCAGAGCAGCCAGGTTACGTAGTGTGAAAAAATAGGATTCCTTTGATAAAAAATACTGTCCCGTGGTCTTCTCTAGGTTTGAAACACCCTGGGAGCTTATTTTTAGCAAAGCAATTTCCCACACCCACCCAAAAATTATACATACAAGTTTAGGTAAACAGCAGATTAAATGTAAAAACTTAACCTTAAGAAAGTCCTTTGAATGTAATCTTTAGCTACTGTTTTCCATGTTACATCCTGCAGCTAGACACACGTGAATAGAAAAAACAGTACAGTTAGTGTTAAAGGCAAACGCAGGGGCCGGAGGCCGCCGGCACTGCCCGCGAGCTCCGGGCTGCGCTCGGCTCCTCCACGCCGTGCTGGCAGAGCCGCGCCACGCGCAGCGCAGTCTCTATGAACAAACAGAAAGCTGTTAGGCAAAAAGGAAGGAAAGGTGTCCCCAGGCCTCTCGGCTGCTCGGGGCCAGGAGGACAGAGGCGGGCGTGTCCAGCCCCGCGCCAGTGTGTGCTAGGTCAGGTGTCGGCTCAGGGGCGATGGTCTGCGGGCCACCGTCTCCACGGACAACACCGTGTGGTCTCCAGGGCCCCGCCCTGCCCTGCCCCCACCCAGGCGCTCGTGGGTTAAGGGGGCACGTAGGGCGGGGGGGACCGGTACGGGGTCATGTTCTTGGGGCGGGAGCCCTTGCCTTCCATGGGGGCCGTGAAGGGCGGGGGCGGCTGGTAGGGAGGCGCGTTGGGGTCTTCCTCGCGCAGGGGCGTGTATTCTCCCACGGTGTCCTGGTTCAGGGGCGTGGTCTCGGGCACGCTCTGGTTGGGGTACTCGGGGGGCGGGAGGGGGGCCTTCTCCTCCTGCAGGATGAGGGGCATGCTGGAGGAGGGCGGCGGCTTGGAGTCGTCCAGCTCGTCGGCGAAGATGATGGGCACGCCCTTCTTGATGAAGGTGGCCTGGTCCTCCAGCGTGAGCTTGCCCTTCCGCTTCTTGCGGTAGCAGATCATGGCGATGATGCCGGCGATGAGCAGGATGGCGGCCACCACCACGGCCGGGATGACCGTGTGCAGGTACACGTCGTCCTCGCTGCTCTTCTCGGGGTCCCTGTCGGGCACGGCCGTGGTGGGCGCCTCGGAGGGCGCCCTCCGGGGCGGCGCCACGGGGATGAACTGCAGGTGCCGGCAGCTCCCGGAGCCCGTCACGGCCAGGCTCAGGGCCTTGAAGTCGGGCTCCAGGGCGCTGGAGAAGGCGGGCCGGGGCTTGCCGTCGTCCTCGGCAACCCTGCGGCTCAGCGCGGCCACCTGCTCCTTGGGGCAGGGCTCCAGGGGCAGCGTGTTGTTGGTCCACTCCACCACGACGGAGCCGGGGCGGATGCCCTGCAGCGTGACGGTGCTGCAGTTGCGGTCCCCGAAGGCGAAGGCCAGCTTCCGCACCAGCGCGATCCTCTTGTGCACGTCGCTCACCAGCGGCCCCGGCTCGCCCGCCAGCGTGGCCCGGAAGCGCGCGGGCGCCTTGTCCCCCTGCGGGCGCCGGTGCACGTGGATCTCGAAGGCGTCCACGGCCGACAGGCCGCCCTTGTCGGTGGCGTGCAGGAAGAACTCGTGCTTGCCCACGTGGCCGGCGTCGGGCAGGCCGTACAGCAGCTGGCTGTTGCTGTTGAACTGCACCCACGACTGCTCGCCCACCAGCTGCTGCTCCCGCAGCTTGAGCGTCAGCTTCAGCTTGTCGGTGGTGGTGTCCTCCCTGTCGTAGAAGGTGTCCGGCGGGATCTTCACCTCGAAGTAGGTGCCCACCCAGGCGTCCACCTTGTCGATGTGGTTCTTGAGCTCGGGGCGCTGGTTGGGCTCCCCGCCGCGGGGCAGCCCGCTGGTGGTGGTGCGGATGCGTGTCGGCGGCGAGGCCGTCTCCAGCCTGGTGACGGGCGCCTTGGTGGTGACCCGGGGCACCGGCCGGGAGGTGCGTGGCTTCTTGGTGGGCCTTCGGGTCGTGGTGGTGGAGGAGTCGGTAGAAGGCGTGGCTGGCTTGGGCGTGAGTACGCGTGGCTTCTTGGTGGTGGTCGTGGGAGGGGTAACGACCGCCGTGGGCTCCACGTAGCCGGGAATGGTCATCGTGGGGCGGATCTGACCAGGAGCCGTGGTGCCAGCTTCGGACACCCGAGTGGGCTGGATGGGGCCCAGGGTTGGCGTCTGAATAATGGCCCCGCGAGTCCGAATGGTGACCGTGGGCTTCCCAGGAACGGGGCCCCTGACCGGCGGAGCCATGGCCTCCGTGGGAGGAGCGATGGCTGGCGACGTGGGGGTGGGCACGATCCTGGATGGCGGCTCCGGGATGGCGGTGGTGGGGGGGCCGATGGCAGTGACGGGGGTGGGGGTGGCGTGGATCTGCCGCCGGACGCGCTTGGGGAGAGGGGGCTTCTTGTTGGCGATGTGCCAGCCCACGACGGGGTAGCCGAGCCGGGCGGACATGGCCCCCTCCCGGGCGGGCGCCTCCACGCCGCGGATGTCAGGCACGCTGTTCTGGTTGAGGGAGCAGCCCAGCCTCCAGGACAGCAGCGCCCCGTTCTCCACCACCTTCTTGGCGTTGCCGGGGCCGGCCATGAAGGCGGACATGTCGAACAGCCGGTTGTTCACCACGGGCACCAGCTTCATGCCGGGCAGCTCCATGCCCGAGAAGCTCCGCATGCTGTGCAGCAGCGCGACCCTCTGCTGTGGGCTCATCTTGGTGAGGTCGGCGTCCAGAATGACCGTCAGCACCGTCACGGGCTCGTCGGCAGCGCAGGCGGAGTTCGCCGGCTCCCCGGGGTCCGGGGCGGCCCGCACGGCCTGCAGCTCGCTGTGGTCCTCCGGGGAAACCTCGATGGAGAACACGCTGGGAGCCTGGGGGACGTGGCTCCCGTTGGCCCCGGGCCGTGCCGCGCTCACCGCAATGTAATGCACCCCCTTGTCTGTGTCGAGGGGGAGGCCCTCCAGGCTGCGGCTCTGCGGGTCCCAGTGCAGCCAGGGCGGCAAGGCCTCCTTCCCTGCAGCCGCCACCTGGAAGAGACACAGCGAGGTGAGTGCCCCTGTCGCTGCCTCACCGGAAACGGTCACAATCACCACTGGCCTCGCCCGAGTGTGCGGCAGGCTGGGTGTCCCCGAGTCCCTCTGTCCGCTCACTGAGCCGTCGGCAGAGGTTAGGCTGCCGGATGCGCAAGCCTGAAAGGCCAACGGTTCACTCGGGGCCATGTGGTGGCGAGAGCAGGGCTGGCACTCGAACAGGTATCCTCCCAGAACGAAGGCACTGGGCCTAAGAATGCCGTGGGGCCTGGCCAGGGTGGCTCAGTGGTTGAGCATCGACCTATGAACCAGGAAGTCATGGTTCGATTCTGGTCAAGGGCACATGCCCGGGTTGCAGGCTCGATCCCCAGTGTGGGGCGTGCAGGAGGCAGCCGATCCATGAGTCTCATCACGGATGTTTCTGTCTCTCGCCCTCTTCCTTCCTCTTTGAGATCAACAAAAACACATTAAATAAAACAGGACTGGGGGCTTATAGCAGCGACATGTCGGCTACGTCCTCACCCACTGTGCCTGCAGGCCCTCAGCTCCTCCCGCCTCTGCAGACACCACCTCCCCCCCTCCCCCCCGCAGGAGCACCGCCCGCCAACACCGCTAGTCCCACCCGCCAACTCACTGCCATTCGCTGCCAGCACAGCGGCGTCAGAAACGGTCAAGGATCTGTAGAAATCGGTATTTCCAGACCGTGAACATTAAATATATTTTCCTTTACAAGCTTTTTTAGCAATAAAAAATTTTTTCAAGTGTTTTGGCTAAAAAACTTATGCTTTACATTTTTTTTCAATTCAAGTATATTAAATATGTAAACAGCCACAATCACCTAAAAACATAGAAAGCAAAGTTTGCTTGTTTTTAAAAAAGAAAGAAAGAAAGAAAGAAAGAAAGAAAGAAAGAAAGAAAGAAAGAAAGAAAGAAAGAAAGAAAGAAGCAACAGCAAAGATGAAGGCCCAAAGGAGCAGCTGGGGAACCTAGATGTTTACAGGGTGGGCAGGACCTGGGTCCTGAGCGGGCAGCGGGTGATCTGGGTGTGGACCTCGGTTCTGCCACCCAAGAATGTTTCCTAAGCGCCCCCCCCCCCCAGCCACCGCTGAGTGAGAGCACCCCTGGCAGAGGGGGGTCGGGGGGGCTGGATGGAGCTCTGGGGAAGTCAGGAGGGAACAGCCACCGCACAGGGACCAGGAGAGGCTTCAAGGTGGGTGCCAGCTGGCGGGCCAGGCCCAGGGCCACTCCTGAGTGGCCAGCAGCTAGGCCTGTGCCCGACCCCGAGTGCCTCCATCAGCAGATGAGCAGGCCGCCCAGCTGCACAGGCGTGTTAAACCGAAGGGCCACCCTCCAGCATCCTGTCTGCTGACCCCCATGGCCCCCGCTCTGCCGTGGGCATTTCCCAGGAATAAACTCAGCCACGCTCTGGCCTAGGCTCCCACTCAGACAGTCTCAGAAGACAGGAGTGTATTTAAACCATGCCAAGGAACCTTCCACCATGTCGATGACGTGTACCATCAGCCAAACATGGGAGAAAAGTCGGGTTTCCCCAAAGCAAGAGAACACGCTCCGTGTCAAGCTGAGGGGAGCGCACCCCACTTTGTGCTGATCACACCTTCCTTCCCAGTCGCCCTCCAGCACCGCAGGCCCAGGACGAGTCTGGCAGAAAACAGCCACGATGCCCCTGCAGCGCCTGCCTCAGCCTCTGCAGATCCCGGCCCCTCGGGTCCTGGAAGCCCGGCTATGCCTGGCCCCCGACAGGCTCTCACCTGGGCCCGCAGCCCGGAGCAGAGCGCTCCAGGCCTGTGGGCGCCGAGGCAGGAAGGAGAGGCACTGAGTGACACTCTAAGCCTGCACCTCGGGCATTGTGGTCCTGCAGTGTGTGTCCAGGCAGAATCTGCACCAAATAGAAGGCCTCTGGCTCCGGATTCACACCCAAAGCAGAAGCTCGGAGCATCAGAAGGAATGAGGAGACTCAGGAAGCAAACACACCTGATTCCACGGGAACCTGGCCAAGCCCAGGCCACGCCGGCACCCGCGTTCCCAAGGCCATTGGGGAAGCCCCTGAGCTGGGGAGTCTGAACAGGCCCGAGGGCTGGCAGCACCCCGTCACCGAAAGGATCCCCCCGTGGCCGTCCCCCAGGGCTCAGTCCATGGAGTCGGCCACCCTCAGCTCTCAAAGCTCTGGCCCCTCCTCTCAGGGCCCACGGGTGGGGTGAGGCAGCTGGGAGTTCCTGCGGAGGGAGACGGCTCCGGGACAAGCCGGGACTCGTCCTGTAACGACAGCCAACCTGGGGAAGCCCCATCGGCAGGAGCCGGGCTGAGGCCCAGGTCCAGGCAGGCCGAGGCCTGGCCCACCCTCCGCCCGCTTCCCATCTGAAAGATGGAGGTGATGCCGTTCCTGTCATCACAGCGCCAGGCCCACGCCGAGTGCTCGGCACTGCTTCCCCGGACACACAGGGAGCTGCTGCCCAGGCCTTGGACCGGAGCAGAGGCCTTGTCTCCGAGCCACAGCCCGAAGCAGGAGCCAAAGCGCCAAGGGAGTGAGAAGGCCGAGGGGAAGCGGGGCCTAGGGAAAAGGGGGGCTGGGCAGGAGGGGAGGGGATGCCTGGGGGCCTGGGGCAGGGAGGACTCACTTCCCCTCGGTCCACAGCACCGGCACCCGACGTTCTAGCTCTGGAGCCTCTGGTAACTGCCCCGTCACACTATCCCCCAACGAACTCCTAAGGGCTGCTGGCTGGAGGGCAGGGGAGAGGCGACTCAGCTCATGGGTGCTCCAGCTCCAGCACGGGAGGCTGCGGACAGGCTGGTCTCACCACGGACGCCCCGGGGTTTCCGGCCACTCAGCCCGCCCCACCCCACTGCCTGGCGGCGGAGACAGGCCCGCTGACCTATAAGGCAGAGCCTGGGCAGCGCCTGGGCAGGCAGTGGGAACAACAGCTCAGGACGCAGACCGAGGGGCGAAGCCCACGTGAGAAACCCAGGCCAGAAAGAGCCAGAAGCCTTGGCCGTGTCAGCAACCCTCAGGCGGACATGCTTCTGAGAGGGAAGGCAAGCCCAGCACGGAGGAAAATGAGACCTCGAACCACCTCACGCCCCGTTCTAGAAATCCTGACCCATAATGCACATCCAAAACCACTGAGAGTCAAAACCACAGGCCTGGCAGACCGGGAGTAAGGCTGCCCGCGATGAGTCACGGGCAGTCCTGGGTCCTGCCGGGGAGGCCTGGTCTCCCTCCGCCCCGGCCAGCAGACCGGGAGCACACCCGCTCCGTCCGGGCCGTCTCTCCCACAGTCGACCCTCACACCCAGAGAGAACCTGTTCACACCAACAAGACCTGTTTTGCCACCTAGAGCCCACACCCACAAGAGACCACCGATCCAGACTCTGGTCACAAGGCCACGGCCACAGGGCCATGCCGTGAACACACCTGCCCAGCCGTCACGCCCTCTGGTCCGTTATGAAGCATGCTACCTAACGTGCCTGCTCGCATCTAAAACAAAAACAAGCCCATCCCCCCACACGTGAGGGCCAGCGGCGGCGTGACAGCGCTCACACCCCTCGGTGCCAGTCCCTGCCAAGGCCTCCACATTCGTTTCCACTCTGTCATGTCCTTTCCAGTCCTTGTCGGGACTTTTTCAAAACGCGGAAGCCTGTTTCCGTAAGGATTTGAACTGAAGCGATCAGGCCAGCGCTTCCACCCGGCTGCCCCCCCTCACCCCCCCCCGCAGGCGCCCCCCTCCCGGCTGCTCACAAGGGGCCCATTCAGGGGCACACCCACGAGGCGGGGAGAAACTGCAGTCCATCTCCCGCAGGCGCAGGCGGTGCCCACAAGCCCTCCGCATCGCAGAAACGCTCCTTTCATGAGCTCTCCTTCCCGGCCAAAGAGTGGCCATTGTTCTCCGGGAACAATGGGGGCCGCCAGCGCTGAGAGCAGGGCCCGGGAAGGGCGGCTCCCGGCTGTCTGTCAGCGGCGTCTTGGGCTGCAGGGAAGCCACATTGTCTCCGGCGAGGCCGCCGAGGGGCCACGGGGAAAGCCACCTGCTCCTCAGTCGCTTCTTATTCCACCACAAGCCCAGGCACAGCCCTGACCAGCCAGCAGGTGACCACCCCCGTCTAAGCTCAGCCATCTCAGCGGATGCTCTGTCCATGAGCCCCGAGGCAGCCAGCCCTGTCCAATCCGGCTAGACCGCCTCTCCCCTCGGCACCCCAGGCGACTTCGTCTCGTCCCCCCACACGGGCTGCGTTCTCCCGCCACGGCCCGGTGGGCTCTGACAGCCACGGCGGGTTTGCGGGGGTCCTCACCCCTGCCGCCAGCCTCAAGCATCCGAGGGCCACTGTGTGACAGAGTGGCCGTGCAGACGGACAGAGCGAAGACTGTCAAACACAGAAATGTGCTAGGAAGGCAGCACAGGGCTTGAGGGAAGCCCCAGGGGTTCAGGCTGACCCAGGGGGTGCCCACAGAAGGAAGCCAGAAGGCCTGGGGGGACCGAGCTTGGCGGGGGCAGCAGACAGGGCGCCGGTGGCTGGGGCATGGCACCCAGAGGGAAGGGGCTCACTCACAGGAGAAGGGGCTGTGAAGATAACAATGTCTCCTGCCTCCGTGTGGAGGACAGACCGAGGGGTCAGCAACAAAGGCAGATAGAGCGTCAGCCTGTGGACTGAAGGGTCAGGGTTTGACTCCGGTCGGGGCACAGGCCTGGGTTGTGGGCTCGACCCCCAGCGGGGGGCGTGCAGGAGGCAGCTGATCACTGATTCTCTCTCTCTCATCATTCATGTCTCTCTCTCTCCCCCCCTTTCCCTTCTTCTCTAAAATCAATAAAAATGTATTTTAAGAAAAGAAAAAGAAAGTTATATTATATTCTCAGAAAATGCTTCACAGCCCAGGAGAAAAGCTACAGCCCAGCAAGTGAAAATACATCCAGTGTGATCCCAGGTCTGGGGCGTCTGGTGGGCATGTGACATGGCGTCTCTCGATGGAAACAGAAAGCAATGGAGGAACCACAAAAGCTTCTCTTTCCCTTTCTACGCGTACGTTCACGCCCCTCATTGTGACGAGGGAAACAAAGTGCCAGGAAGGAAGGCGGCTGCTCCGTCCGTCCCCCCACCCCCACCCCCACCCCACCCCCCGGGGCAGCGAGCTGTCGGATGGAGAGCACACATCTTGTTCTCCACAGGCTCATCAGCTGCTAAGTGGTCTGCTTTCCGGATAAATATGCTCAGACAAAATCCTGTTTTCCAGTGAAGCCTCTCCCCCTGGACAGTAAGCCTGTTAAACGTCCCTGCCGGACCCAGCCTGTCCCACGCACTCAGCACTGCCAGGCACTGTGGTCAGGGTGAACCCACGTAAGACAGGTCACGGCCACGGGATCGAGGCAGCGTTTGCATATCCAGACGGAGTCTGCAGTTGGCAAGAAGCGTACCCCAAACTGTCCTCCTCCCCCGATGGCCAGACCAGCACTAGGCGTGCGGGGTTTCTGTGTGTATGTGGGGCCCACCAGCTGGGAGGAGCTGTGGAAGGGAGCGGCGTCTGGAGGAGCAGGACCCTCTGCGATCACAGGCCCGCGAGAACCAGCCCGGCCTACAGAAGGGCCAACGGGGGCCGAAACCGGTTTGGCTCAGAGGTAGAGCGTTGGTCTGCGGACTGAGGGGTCCCAGGTTCGATTCCGGCCAAGGGCATGTACATTGGTTGCGGGCACATCCCCGGTGGGGGGTGTGCAGGAGGCAGTTGGTCGATGTTTCTCTCTCATCGATGCTTCTGGCTCTCTATCTCTCTCCCTTCCTCTCTATAAGAAAATCAATAAAATATATTAAAAAAAAGAAGGGCCAATGGGGAAAGGAAGAGAGCACGAGGGGGGGGGGAGGGCGCTGCCAAGGATCAGGGGAACGTGGCCTGGTCGCCCTCTCCTCAGGGCCTTTCTAACCTCGGTGCCTAAGTGATCAAATATATTAGTAAATGTACAATACTAAATTAGAGCAAAACTCCTATATTATTCATACTTTATTTTTAAAAACTAGTTCAAAGCACTGAAAAGTTCTGCATTCCTTGGGTGGAACCCCATGTTAATGAAAGGCCTTTTCCTGTACACAGGCCTTTCCCCACCAAATCCCGAAGTCAGGACCCAGAGATCTTCCCGAGGACACATGGCAAGGCCTTTAGTGCGAAGCCCTCGAAACAGGAGTCAGGCCCGGCCGGCATGGCTCAGGGGTCAGCGTCGACCTATGAACCAGAGGTCACAGTTCGATTCCCAGTCAGGGTACATGCCGGGCTGTGGATTCAATCCCCAGTGGGGGGTGGGCGGGAGGCAGTCAATCCATGATTCTCTCTCATCACTGACGTTTCTCTCTCTCTCCCTCTGACATCAATAAAACTGTATTTGTTAAAAACAGGAGTAAGAATGAAGGTTTAGGATGCTCTCCTGAAATTAAGGGGACCCTGTGGTGAACATCCGTGGCTGTTCCCCTCTTAAGGGACAGAAGTAGGTTCTGGAGAAAGTGAGCTCAGAACCGCTGGAGCATAGAACTGAAGCACCAAAGCCTAACACTGCAATCCGATCCCTCCTTCTGGCTTCCTCTCCATCGGCTCACCTTGATGGCTTCTCCGTCAGACGCAATTACATCTGCAGGAATGGTCACTCGAAACACGCGCCCGACCACAGCCGTGCCGTCCGGAATGCCGGCCACGGTGGGGGCAGCCTCCGGGAGGCCCGACAGCACCGAGTGCATGGACGCCTCCAGCTGGTCCTCCCAGCCCCTGGCCGCCTCCGCCGGGTCACTTGGCCAGTGGGACTGGGTCGTGGCCACGCAGAGCAGGAGGAGCAGGGCCCGTCCCCCGGCGGGGAGCAGCAGCGAAAGGCCCCCAGCCATCCTCTTCGGGGCGAGTCTGCGCAGCCGGCTTCAGGGTGAAAGGCGGGCAGTGATGCGGTCCAGGCGGGCCCTCACCCCCTGCACGCCCGCTCCATGCCAGAGCACTCAGAGCCTGAAAAAAGAAGAGAAGTTGTCTCAGACTTCAGCGAGGCCCCTGGTTTCAAAGTTGTGCACAGGCAGTTACCAATAACTTTGCTACCAGAAATATCTGTCCTGAGCTGGATCAAGTCTCATCCTGCACTGTCCGCTCAGCCCCAGCCACAGGTGGCGACTGAGCACTGGAAATGTGGCCTGCCCTGTAAATGTTAAGTGCACATTGAATTTTTAAAAGTTCACATAAAAGAGAAATGTAAAGCCCTGGCTGGTGTTGCTCAGTGGATAGCGTTGGCCTACAGACGGAAGGGTCCTGGGTTTGATTCCAGTCAACGGCACAGGCACAGGTTGCGGGCTCGATCCCCAGTGTGGGGCATGCAAGAGGCAGCTTAACAATGATTCCCTCTCATCATTGATGTTTCTATCTTGCCCCCAACTGCCCTCCTCTGCCAGCCTAATCTCACTTCTAAGTGCCTCTGCCTCAGCCCCTACCACCAAAGCTTTGTCCAGAAGGAAGTCAGACGTCCGGGAGATGGCCAGTCGACCTGGTCTAATTATCCTTTCATTAGTATTGATGGATTATACGGGATAGGAATACTTAAGGGGCGGGGGGGAGCCTTTTTCAGCAGGAGAGAGGCCCAGACCAGCTGCTGAAGGCACTGGGACAAGTGGCCATCTATGCAAAAAGCAAACACAACTGGGCTCCTCCCTCACTTTTCCATCACAAACGTGATAAATCCCAGGTGGATGATACACACAAATGTAAAAAGCAGAATTTTAAAAAATGTAGGCCCAGCCAGTGTGGCTCAGCAGTTGAACGTCAACTATGAACCAGAAGGGGCAGCCTCACCAGACAAAGCACTTGGACAACAGCAGCTCTATTGGGCCAGCCACCACGGGAAGCCACGGGGCTCCACTCCCACCGCACCAGCAAAGGCTCCGGGACCCAGGCTTGCCCCCCGTGAGCTGTGACCAGGCCCCGAACACCCGAGGCAACATCGGAGAAGGCCACGCTGGGACCGCACCCCCCCGCCAGCAGCAGTGCTCGCCCTCCTCCCGGCCCCTCAGAACGAAGAGAATTACCAGAGAGAGGAGGGCAGCACGCTGACAAGATGATAATCGCCGTGAAGAACCACAGATGGACACCCAGCGACCAGCAGAGTGTGAACCCTGTAGAGTAAAATCGGATAGACTGAGAGGAAAGGATTTGAAACCCCCATCCTAACTAGAAACTTCAATGCCACCCTCTCAACAACGGACAGAACGAGAAAGAATCAGCAAGGACACAGAGAACTCACAGCACCGCCGGTCAGCCTCCCCAGCTCCCTACCGCTCCCACCTGCCAGCAGGCCCTCGTTCTTTCCGAGAGCTGGGGGAGCACGGGCCAGACAGACCACAGCTGGAGCCACGAGCCAACCTCTCCAAACTCAAAGCCTGAAGTAATACTGAATGTGTTCTCCAACCACAGGAGTCAAGTCAGAAATCACCGACTGAAGGGAAACATCTGAACACTATACAACATGCTTGTAAATAGTCCCGGGTCAGAGGGCCCGGATACAGATAAAGCAGGTTTGTTTCAGAACACAACTGAAGCCGCGCTCACTAGCAGAGGCGAACTGACAGCACCAAGTCCACGGGCAAGAAAGGAAATGTCAAACCCGTGACCTCTCCCTCTGCCCCGCCCGCAGGAAGCTGGAAGAGGAAAGGCCGTGCAGGTGTGGCCGGCTGCAGCCTGCCCTACGCAGGTGGTTCCGGTCAGGCACCCGCTTGGGTGCGCGTGGGCGGCAGCAGACAGGTGTATGCTTCCCTCCCCCATCCCTAAAATCGATTCCTTAAACGCTTTTGTTGATTTTAGAGAGAAACACTGATGTTGGAGAAACATGTCCTGTGGCTGCCTCCTACACACGCCGGGTCAGGGCGGGATCGAACCTGCAATCGGGGTCTGTGCCCTGGCCAGGACCTGAACCCGCAGCCTCCGGGTATGGCTCTACCATTGTGCCATGCCAACCAGGGCTAATTTAACTCTGTAATGTTCTCCAAGTGACAAAATGAAGGAACCAGAGGAGAAAGCGGTAGCTGCCAGGGTTACAGAGGGAGGCCATGTCCTGTGTGGGGACTGTCAGTCAGTGCCCTGGCTGTGACCCGGGCCAGGTTTAAGATGTGGCCATGGGGCAATCTGGGGAAAGGTCCTCAGACCTCTCCGTATTAAGTTTGACACCTGCATGTGAACCCACAATTACCTCAAACATTTTTTCCCTAAATCTTCAGTATCCGTCCAATAAGGAGCACCACAGAGAAAGTAAACGGGACCAATCACAGCGGGGAGAGCTTTGTCCATGCGCATGGTGGCTAAGGTTTTCTTTTCTGCATTTCCTTTTCTATCTCCTGGTTTAACTGCTTTTTATCCCTTTCCCAGCTTATTTCTTTGTACATCGATAGTTTTAAAACGTTCAGGTCTTCTGTTTTAAGCTATCTCAAATTGTAACTTTAGTTTCCTTTCTTGTTGCGTAGTTTCCTTCCTCAGACGGTACCTCTCACTAGTCAGTGGCTCAGCTCAACCAGCACGCAGGCCGGGCTGGAAGGCGACGGCGGACTCAGCGTGTCACCAGGCACACCCTCAGGGTGATCGGGGAGGACACAGGACTGCTCTTTAGCTTCTCCTGTGTCTTTACCCTTCAGTTTGCTTCCTTTCAGACCCCGCCGGCCTTTTACTTTCTCACTGATTTCCGCTCTAACACTCCCCTCTCCTGTGGAAGCAGCCCGGGTGGGACACGCCCCGTCACTGACACACAAGCCCTGCTGTCGGCGGACATGACTCAGTGCTCCGCATTTAGCAGAGCCATGTCCCAGGCACAAGTCCAGCTGCGCTGGTTTCCATGCTGGGAGAAAAGATCTTTATGAACTTGGCAAAGAGCAGCCGTGTCTCCGCTGCCACTCTCCCCCCGCAGGGTCACGTCCGGGGCCTGAGCTGGCAGGCGCACCACCTCCCCGAGGACGCCCCTCTGGAGGGCGGACTGCTCAGACGTGGGCACTCAGAGGAGGCCCTGCAGAGCCCCCTCGCTCTTCAGGGACCCAGAGAGGGAGCACCAACCCGGTCCCGGAGCCCGCGGGCAGGGCCTGGCGGAGAAGCAGCGGGGGGACCAGTCAGCCCGTCTCCCGACACCCCCCTGGCCTGAGCGCTGTGCGCCCGAAGGCCTGCGTGCTCTCACCAGCCCACCGAGAGGACTGCCAGGCTCTCTCCGAGCAAAAGTGTCTGCGCCAGGACCCAGGGCAGTGCCCGACTCCTGAGAAACCCAACGCTGTGAGGAGGGGCCTCCCCGGGCCTGGGTGGAGGCCGGCTCTCTGTGCGCACGCTCAGCAGCATGGCACACGAGTGAAAATGGGCACAGCTGCCAGGAAGCATGCACCCCTTGTCCCGGACAGTCCACCCCAGGGTCAGGGGAAACTTGAAAGTGTCAGAGCCTGCAAAGCGCAGACACAACCCCGTGGTCACTGCTGTCCTAGAGTGGACACGGGCTGCCCCTCCCCTCTTCCCTCTGCAAAAACCTGCACCCCTGCCCCAAGCGCCCCACCCATCCGTCCCCGGGCCAGGCGTGCACCCAGCGCCGAGGAGCACCGCCCCGCAGCACCTCCACAGAGCCCGCCTGGGTGGAGGGGGAAATGGCTCCGGAGCATTGGCCTGGGCGCCCCGGTCTGCGGCTCCCGGCAGGGAGGTGCCCTCCCCAGAGGAGCCACAGCGAGGGGGGAGCCACTGGCCCTGCACCCCGTGCACATGCCTCCTTTCCCAGCTGCTCCAGAGCAGAGGCTAAAAGGTGGTTCGCTCTGTAAGCCAAACGCAGAGACTGTCCTGGAAGCGGGTGCTGGGAGCTCCCTCGCCGCTCGCAAGGACACACTGGAGAAGCGAAGCGGGCAGTGACGGCGCGGCCTGTCACCAGCCTCCGCCTCGCTGTGCGACTGCAGCACGGCCCCCGGGAGGCACAGCCTGGCAGCCCCCTCCGGCGGCCTGGGCCCCGGGGACTGCACCGATCTTGAACCCCAGCCCGGGGTGAGCAGCTCCGCCGTGGCCAGGCTGCCTCCCAGAGCGCAGGGCGCCGCCCAGGGGCAGGCCCTCAATTAGTGCTTTCCACTCGGCAAGTTCCAGGAACACATGCACCGTGGCACCAACTCAGTTCAGAGTGAACACTGTCCTCCCGCAGAAACCACGGAGCAGCCCTTACCTGGAACTGGGAGAGCAGTGCCTGCTGGCTTCCCCTTTCCAAGAACCAAGCCTGAGGTTCGCCCCCTTGCTGAGCCACGCCCACCGAGGCAGCGGCAGCGGCAGCTGCCACTCTCCGGCCGCTATTACCTAGAGCAGCACTAACTGTCAGGCTGCTACCCCGTCATAGTAATTCAAACATTTAAGGTAAATGGGATTTCTTTCTAAAAGCCAATCAAAGACAATAAAATTTCACATCCGTTTTAAATGTTTGGAGAAAGTCAAAAGTGAAATCTTCACTGAAACCACCAGTTAGGTTGCTCCTGGCACAAAGGCTGTGCCCGCACTCAGGAGTCTAACTTGAATACAGACTTTCTGGAGGGTCAGCAGCACCCAGCGCTCAGCCTGGGCCACAGGGTGTCAGCACCGGGCAGCACAGGTCTCGTTCACTGAAGCACAGGCAGCCCTCGCTCCTCGGCGTCAGCGCAGGTGTTGAGCCTCAGTCACCGGCAAAGACTCCAGTGTCGCCCCCAAGTCACACCAGCTCAGGAGACTCCCTGACAGAAGGCAGTGTCCGCCCGGTCTGGACGCCGGGGGTCATCAGCAGAGGTTTGGGGCACCGGCCAACGCCATCGGGAGCCGCCACCCACCACGGACCAGGGTCACAGACACAGCGAGGTCCCAGAGTCCAAGTGCGCGGGAAGACATGTCC